ATGGCGGAAACTTACTGAAGCAAATCGGATTGAACTCGTCATTAATGCATCGAAGACAAAATACATGAGAAGAAGAGCTTCAACAGAACTCCCACCACGAGTTTGGATTGACGGTGATGAAATCGAGGTGATAGACGAGTTCTTGTATTTGGGTTCACTGGTGACCGCCGATAACTACACCAGCAGAGAAATCCAAAGACGAATTATGGTAAGGAAACATACTTATTTTAGACTCCGAAGGACGCTATCTATCTATCACTATCTAAAAAAACGCCGTTAGACTGGTAATCCTCTACTCATTGGTGAAAAAGTACAGCAACCTTAGATCGATGGACCTCAGCTCGTTCAAGACAGTTTTGAACCCTAGATTTTGACCACAAGGAATTGTGGCAGGTTAAACAAGCCATATTGCTACTTTCTTCTTCTTCTTCTTCTTTGCAGTTCAAGCTTATTGCTTATCGCATATTACTCAAGTAACGCTAATTCGCCTTTTTGCAATATAAAGCTAATATACGGCTAATATAAAGCTTAGCATGCTCTATGTTCGCCGTGTATCTGCATGTTTCCATTTTTGCAGTAGTATAATTGTGTGGCAAGTACAGTTATACCATAGAGGTAACTCTAAGACCAGAAGGTCCCGAAGGAACGAGCTCAACTTTTTGGCTCAGCTCTGGTACTATCTTCGGTCCCAAGCTAATCGATTCACCCCTCGAAACATAGGAAAATCCACTAACCCCTCATTTTATCTGTCAAACTTTCATAGCGAATCAAAACAAATATAGTGTAGTACTGGAATTTATACTAGAATAGGGCACGTTAATCGATTTGCTTGGGACCAATAGGCTAGTCAAGTGGTGAGCCAATTTAAAATCGATAGTTTCGTATTGATTGTTGGTGATACCCTATGCCCAGGGAAGTCGAGAAATTTTCCGACCCGAAAAATTCCTAGACCGGACTGAGAATTGAACCCAGCCACCTCCAGCTGGGTCTTGCTTTGTAGCTGCGCCTTTACAGACTGAGGTAAGGGAGGCCCCAGCAATATTGCTACGCCTATTTCGATATGATTTCAATAGCACAAATCTGCATGACAAGACGAACAAGCTATACAATTAATTCTGTGTGTGCTATCTGTGTCCAGAGTTGGTAACGGTCCGTTTGGTCAGTGACGTTTGACGAAAACCGAAAATAAATTGTCGCGGTACAAAAACCATCATTTCCATACATCCTTCGTCATTGACAGTAATCCCTTTGAACAGATCCTATCGCATCTTCTACCTTCCCTTCTCTTTTTTGTATCATGCATGAACAAAAATAAGCGAATACCGTCGAACGTACATGTGAGCAGACTAGTAACCACACTATGAGCGCTTCTTGTTTTCCTTTAGCCTTTCCATCTACCTAAGCGTTGATAGACCAGAAGTAAAGACACTAGCCTGTTAATCTCAACGTTAGTGGTTCGAATCCGTTTTGTACCCATTTTAAGTTTTTTGTGTTGTTTCCAACGATCATCATTTTTTGTCAAACAATAAGGAACGGCTGACTAAAACGTGCAGTTTTTAATCCTCTCCGAGTAACCGACAGATCTAAGAGAGAGAGAACGTACTGAGCTAGTTTTTTTCACGACGTAAATTAAAGAGGACTGTCTTCATACTGAATTTGTCATGCGCTGCTTGAAGTGCGACGAAGATAGTAATACAATATTTTTCATCACTGACTTTGCTCTCTCTACGTTGATGCAAGACAGCCCCTGAGTACTGCGGACTCACTCAAGGTGCTTGTCACTTTGGAGCCAGTGTGAACTGTCAAGCGGGAGCCAAACATTTAGAAGCAGCAAATGCAGTTACTGTTCTTATCTACCGTCAAGCATTGCAATCTCATAAAAATGTTCTATACTTTTTCATAACACATTCTTAATTTAATCTCAAAGATAAAAACCAACAGGCTTAGTGATGAAAGTATAAAAACCAGCATCGTTTTTATGAGGCAGCTGAGTTTTCAATTACAGTAAAACATACTTTGGCGAAACATGTATGTAAACAAACTTTGATAGAGTCATGAGGGCTCGAGCACTCCTGGCTCAGAGCTTTTGGAGGGAATCAACTGAGAAAGAGCAAATCAATTTGAAACTTGAGAAAATTTTCAAGCAGTTTTCCATTGGCTTGCATAATAAAATTTATCGACTCCGCAGTACCCAGGACAGCCTTGTCTGTGTCTCCCTCTCACAATATTTATCTTCAAAATGCTTACAAAACATACTACACGCTAATTCAAAACTACCCAAATTTGGTAAAATCCACCCAGATCGGTCAAAACTGAACCTACCCAAAATTGCGTAAACTGTGTTGGGAGTAACAAGTTGACAAATGGACAACATCGACATGAACCCGATCGACTTTGTTCATTTGTCAACTTGTCACTCTCAACATAATTTACCCATTTTTGGGTAGGTTCAGTTTTGACCGATGTGGGTAGATTCTACCCAAATTTGGGTAGTTTTGAAATAGCGTGTAATGTTTGCATACCATTTGAAAGGGAAACGCATATTTAGAATTTACGGCGTCATAACTTTCATTTGGCATGTTGTGTAAAATAGTTAGTGGTCATATTGAAATTAGCCGCCATTTTAGATTTTTCCATTTCTCCATCATAATTTGATATGCATCTTAAAGGAAAAACTCTCAGTTTTCAAATAACGTTCTTAATTTTGAAATTGATGAGAGGTAAGCTTAATAAAAAAAAAACTTGTTTCTTAAAAAAAATTCAAAAGGCGCCAAAAATTTGAAACAACATGCCATGAAAGCCCTGACATTTCCCTTTCGAATTTCCAAACAGTAGGGTTTTATCGAAGACAACAAATCAAGAAGACTGGCAAATTTGATAGCAAAGATTACATCTTCAGAAGAAGGGTTTGTGTATTTGCTCATTTTTCTATGCGTTGCTTCCACCTTCACTCAAGCGCAGTGCTACCATAGAGGTACACTGGAGTCGCTTTTTACGCGGTTTTTTTTTACACGGTTTTTTTTTACGCGGTTTTTTTTTACGCGGATTTCGGAATTTACGCGGTTTTTTTTACGCGGATTCCGGAATTTACGCGGATTTTGGTTTTTTTTTACGCGGATTTCAGAATTTACGCGGTATATCGCTTTTTACGCGATTTTTTCTTACACGGTCTTTTTTTACTCGGTTTTTTTTTACGCGGATTTCGGAATTTACGCGGTTTTTTTTTACGCGGATTCCGGAATTTACGCGGTTTTTTTTTACGCGGTTTTTTTTTACGCGGGACGTATCACCCGCGTAAAAAGCGACTCCAGTGTAACTCTAAGACTAGTAGGTCCCGAAGAAACGTGCTCAACTTTTTGGCTCAGCTCTGGTACTTTCTTCGGTCCCAAGCTAGTCAATTCACCCCTCGACACATAGGAAAATTCAATAACCCCTCATTTTATCTGTCAAAATTTCATAGCGAATCAAAACAAACATTGTGTAGTACTAGAATTTCGACTAGAATGGGGTTCGTTAATCGATTTGCTTGGGACCAATAGGCTAGTCAAGTAGTGAGTCAATTTAAAATCGTTAGTTTCGTATTGATTGTTGGTGCTACTGTATCTGTCGCTTGAATTCTGGCAAAGTTGCCAGTCTTCTTGATTTGTTGTCTTCGGTTGTATGCAAGAATTTTCAGCGATAGATTAATTTAAATAATCTAATATTTTTGAACCCCGAAACAACAGTTGGCCGGTTTCAGCGAGAATCAGTTCCCGAGCAAAGTCTGAGATCAAATTGAAATCTTAATTTGATGTTGTGATTTCGCTGATAATAATTGCTCAGGTTGCTGTCGTTTTGGTCGTTTTAACGGTTAAAATATCACATTTGAGAGCAAACAAACCACAACATATTTCTGAAGAGCAAATGTGCAGCAAAATGAAAACAAAATTAGGCATCAAATTTGTCAATTGCGTAAACTGAAATCAAATTATGATTTCAGTTTGATGTTGATATCAAAACAGGATTTCAATTTGCTGTCATTTTGATGCTGGACTTTGCTCGGGTTGCTTCTTTAAATGAGGTCCAACGTAGAATTAAACTTTAAGGTGTCGAAATACACCGTTTATATTATGTTCCAATGATTGTTATGCAGGTTGTCTACTCATTTGCTAAATAAAATTCACTGAGTCTTCCTGGTTTTTCCAGAACATTATAGGACAATTTTCAGGTTTTTGAAGAAAGTTTTTTTTAATGCGTTTCGTAGTTTGCTGCTTTGGGTAAACCAATAAATCAAATCGACAGTGAGCATTCATAAGGGCGTATACGCGATGATCGATTTTCTTCATCGATTTTCTCTTTCGTTAATAACTCGCTAGATTTAACGTTTGTCGGTGCGTTTGCTGTTGCTTTTGATGGCCAATGCAACCTGTTACAACTCTACATTGAATAAATTCTACAAAATTGTTTCGCTTAGCTGTAGCAATGCAAAGAGAAAATCGATGAAGAGAATCGATCATCGCGTATACGCCCTTATGAATGCTCACTGTCGAAATGCCACAAACGTGTTAACGTAACCTAAGTTTTATCAGAAGTAATTGTACCTTTGCAGGAGGTTTTTGGCCGCTATTCGCATAACAGTCTCATGTAGATTGCACATGGGACTGTTAAGCAAATAGCGGTAGTACGGTGCCCATACACATTAAAAAAACATATGGATGATTGTCCAAACAGGGATAGGGTGGATCTAAAACCTCTCAAAAACTGTCCACGTGGAATGTGGAGTGTAAACATGTATGAAGGGGACCGCACAAAGGGTCTACAAAAAAAAACAACTACCAACGTGGTTATGCACAGGACATCTCAGAATGTTCTAAATTTGTTAGAATTCATAACAAAATTATCATGACCGGTTGAATGGGATTTTAGATTTCTCTCACAATGAAGATTAATACCCAATACCCAGACCTCATCCAGTACTACGGTTTGAAGTGCATTAGTTACGTCTCTTTATTCAATCTCTCTCACACCATCGTCCGCCCAGGTCTTAAATATTTTTCTTCAACTGCGCCAGCTTGGTCAAGCAAGCATCCCGCCAGGCTCGCCTCTCGGGCAACTTATCCAGCGGAACCATCTCTTCCAGTTCCTTGGCGACTTGCTGCGCAACCGGTCCCTCCATTCTCGGTGTTGCTCCCATCGTTTGGCTCACCGCGTGGATCGTATTGCAGTACCGATCGCAGTAGCTAAGCATACCCTCGGCATTCAGATGGGCCGTCTCCAGTGGACCCAAGAATGCGTAACGCATTCCCAGCCCATCGGACATGACACTGTCGATGTCCTTTACGCTCAGAATACCGTCCGCCACCAGGCGCCAGGTTTCATTCAGGATGGCATATTGAATGCGATTCAGAGCAAAGCCTTCGATCTCTCGCGACAGAGTAACGGGCTTCTGGCCAATTTCGGTCATCAGCTCACGAGTTTTAGCAGTGAACTCGGGTCTGGTCCACGGTGCCGGAACTATCTCCACCAGTGGGACGTAGTAGGGTGGATTGACTGGATGCGAGACGAGAACCTGAAAGGGTCAAAAGTCAATTAGGTAAATTAAGATTAATACAATAATGTACCTTACCTGATCCTTATGCTTCAAATCCTTACTGAACAACGACGGCATGAAGGTGCTGGTCGAGCTGGAAATGATCGTACTCGTCCCAACTACCGTATCCAGGTCGGCGTACAGCTTCTTCTTCAGGTCCAAATTTTCCGGAACACATTCCTGCAGGAACAGTGCACCGTCGACGGTTTCCTTCAGATTGTGCGATCCGCGGATGCAGGAAAACTGCTCCGCAGCGTTCAGCGTACCGCGGAGTAGCCCCTGTTTCTCCAGACTGATCAGTTCATCCTTGGTCAGTTGGAGGGCTTTCTCGACCACGTCGGGAATGATATCAAAGATTGTGACCTGGTAGCCAACGCCCGCAAAGAGCATGGCCCATGATCTGCCAATCAATCCGCTGCACCAAAGAGGAGGGGAAGAGGGTAAATGGGTTAGTGAAAGTTTATTTAATGAGAGATTGATACTCGATGTATGATGATCAACAAGTTAACAAACGAACAAATCAATATAAGCATTTTTTTTTTGCTGAAATAAAACCTACACACTAAGATTTTTTTGCCGAGATGGACACCACCGAGCAGCTCGGCATTTTATTTTGCTGGAAATTCAGCAAAAAATATATTTGTTAGCTGAGATCTCGGCAAAACTCCCGTTTGTTAGCTGAATCTCGGCAAGTTTTTCACTGAGATCCAGCAAAATAAAATGCCGAGCTGCTCGGTGGTGCCCATCTCGGCGAAAAAATCTAAGTGTGTACATTGTGATTTTTGAGGTGCAGTACAACTGTACTGTAGTCACAGAGAACAGACATCCAAGCTTGAACAAATTTTTCGAAAAATTATGTTTAAGAATTAAAATTAAAATACGTTAGAAACACTAGCGCCGCCATACGGAGTGTTGCGACTCGAGTTATCACCTTTTGAGATTAATGAGTAAACTGAACTAAAATTTGGGTTGATCTTATTGACCGAGTATTACAATGAACTGTCAAATCCGTTCAAAACAAACAAAGCAATACAACGGAAATCAATCGAGTTTCTTCAGAACCATTATTTTCGAATAAAAAACTAAGCTCTTTTACAGATTCCTGTAGATCTACAACCACTTTTCGTTCCAATTTTAACTGGGCATAGTATTCAGAAGAAAAACTGACTGGTTCACTGGCGGTGTATCTTCAAATGATTCATTGAGGGTGTGAACTCCAACTAGCCATCATTTAAATTCTGAAATATGTGGTAAGATTTGAACACTGCTTACCCTGCATCTGTTCTTCCAGTAGTTCGAAAAGCCTCCGGGGGAAGTGGCCGGACCATAACATTTTCGTTGCAAGCACTTGGACTCCACGTGAGAAGAAAACCTCCTGTAGTTCGGGCAATTCAGCATCCTTAGGAAAATTGTGAAAAGATTTTCGCTTGGTAACACCTTGTTTACTTGCGCACCAATAAAACTCGCACTTGCGGCCCATATTTTGATCGGTTGTAAATAAACAATGTTTTGCTCACAACAATTTTGACATTTATGTTAAGATGACGTCGGTCATCGACGTTGATGGGCAGCGACACTAGCGCCACCACGATATTGCTAGTTTCAAATGTCTATTCCAAATAGCACTTAAATTTCTTACACACTTTAGGAATTTGACTTGGATGTCTGTTCTCTGTGCTGTAGTGTCTAGTCTACTATTAGTAAAAAATGTTATACAAATGCATATCACGACATTTTCTTGGTCTGTTTACTGTTCGTTTTGGCCTGACATGCATCAAAGCGACGCAACCAGGCACCTTTTCAGTAGTTTCATCATTTCACGGTTGTAAACAGTTTCTACATTCTATCGGCGCCTTGTCGTTAGCTTCTTCATTTGACGGATTCAGATAGCTTCCACAGTTCATCGGAATCAGGACACAAGTTTTCTCTTTATGGTTCAATAATCTTATGATTCAATTTAATCAATTTAGATCAATTTAGCTTATGATTCGGTCCGATATTCCCTAGACATTGCCTCCATTAAAATCAGAACACATCTCTCAAATATTCTCTCATGCAGCTCAAAAATTATTCCAAAGACCTCTGGATACTTTTTCAGGACTTCGGTTTAATCTGGTGACTCAGAATATCTTCCATAGACCTTCAGGTCATCAGAGATCTTCAAAAACTTCTCATGGTATTTTTTCAAGTCTTTAGGTTGATTAAGTATTATTTTGAACGTCTTCAACTGTGCAACAACTTAAATCACGTCTCTCAGATATTCACTCACGATACCAGGTTGTTCAGAAGTTGTTTTAAAGGCCATCAGGAGACCAGTGATCTCCATAAATAATCAACAATCCATATCACATTCCTAATATATTTTCTCATACATGTAATATCAAGCAACTCAGAAATTATTTCAAATCCTTCAGATAGTCCGAGATCTCCATAAAGTACTCAGGATATTTTGACGTAGGACTGTCGGGGGGTACACTTTGTGAAAACCGAAAATGGAACATGAAACAAAATTGTGAAAGATTTTGAACGTTAATAACTCAGCTGCCCCTGGTCCAATTTAAATTTTTTTTATCGCCGATCGATCAGCAATATTTTTACGCATCGATAGCAATGCTTCCCACTGTTGATTTTCAACAAGCAACTATTGAAAAAGTGGTAAATGTTCAGCATTGTACAAAAGCGTCGAATTAACTCATATATCGACCAATTACGTACATGCTTATGCTGCTTTCCCAACACAGTCATCAGATAATCATTCCTAGACGAAACATGTCGATGTAGCATTACGACGAGGTTCGGTAGCTCAGTGGTTACTGTTTCTGCTTACTGAGCAGAAGGTCGAGGTTCAATCTCAGGCCCGTCCCCATCCTTGCAATTTTTCACTTTGTCTCATCCTATCCCCACTAGATTTCAATAAAAACAAATTCTGCTTTAACCGATCGCATCACTTATCACATGAATCCTGATCTAAAAATAACCTACCTCTCTAACACAACTATCCTTCCCGAGACAGCCGTGGAGATGTTGAGGAATTCTCGGTCTCTAGTAACAACCGCACTGTGCAAGTTGATTAGTTCTGATCATTCACGGAGGAGCAACTAAGAAGGTCGGATAACGTTAACTCGACGGCCAACATTCATTGATACCGTTGTTGTTGTGGATGATAGAAGCGAATAGCAGAAATAGTGCGAAATAGGTAAGTGAAGCCATGGTGATCACAAAAGAGGAAATCGATAGAGAATTGGCTTTCATCCTTCTGCTTCTAAGCCCCTTACAGTCGTCGTCACAGCAATGAAAACTAGCATCGCGCCGCTTTTGGTTCTAGGGCACTTGCTGGTTGCAATTTTAAGATCAGGATTCACTGTGATGCGATCAATGAAAGCAGCAGAAATGTTCATCCCAACTCTCTTGTGGAATTTTTTAATGACTCTGAAAAGTGCCAGTTTTGTTAGATTTCGACGGAGAAATTAAGAGCGTTCACAACGAATACGACGAGCCAGCTGAATATCCTTTGGCATAATTGTGGATGGCGCATAGGTTGGTATCTTCGAACAGACCGACCAGATGGCCTTGCTGGATTCCTGCAACGGCCGAGCTCTGGAAGCGCAGATCGGTCTTGAAAGTCCTGGGCGATTTCAGGAGGAGCCTTTTCTCCGGTGGACTTACGAGCGGTCTGCTTGGTACGAGCCATTGTGCTTAGTTACGGTGCAGATACGATGAATCGAACACGTAGAATAAAAATTTCAACCGCTTTCTCCTCTATTTAATAACATACTTTTGTTATGTTCAACCAATCATAAACGATGAAAGAACAAAAATGCAACAACTGGCAAGAAGAATTTAGCCTTCGAGTAGGTATAAAAGAGGTATTCATGGTCAAAATAAGCATCATTAATTTAATTTACATCATTAATTTACTGAAGGGATGAATCAGCTTAAAGGGTAAAATCCCTCAAAAATAAATAAACAACAACAACAAAATAAGCATCAGGAACGCACCCTGTATGGTTTCGGAGGTTAAGCTTCGTTCATTTTCCCTATCTGAAACGGCCCTTTTCAGGGCCAATAACTAATTTCAAAAGAGATGGTTTAGAAGTTCTGCTATACTTGGCATGAATGAAATTCCTGGAACCAGCAAAATGGTAGCAACCAAGCTTCTAATCTTGAAGCAACTGGGCCGACTCTCTGAGTGCCCATTTCTTGTAGCGAAGCTCGCTGCCTTTCCAACCACCGGGTCAACCCGTGTCCAGCAGTAGCCGTAAAAAGAAGTATTTATGGTGATCATATCATATGGTTGACACAAAACTGCAGGACTTACTTAAGTGTCCTGAGCGCCATCCCTGGCGCAAAGGGCCAACGTGAAAGATCTCCATCCTGGGCGATTGTTTGCTTTCGCCTTGACCTGGGCCCAGGTCAAATTCCGGTCGACTTGCTTAATCTCCTTGTTTAGGCTTCGCCGCCATGAGCCCCTGGGTCTGCCTCTGCTGCGATGTCCGGCTGGATTCCAATCCAGCGCTTGTTTGCAGATTTCATTTCCGCTCTTCCGTAGTGTGTGGCCAACCCACCTCCACTTACGTTCCCGAATTTCTGTCGATATCGGCTTCTGGTGACACCGTCGATGGAGCTCGGCATTCGAAATCCAGTTGTGAGGCCACCAAGCACGAATTATATACCGCAGGCATCGGTTGATGAACACCTGCAGCTTCTGTGTGATCTCCGCTGATACGCACCATGTTTCGCTAGCGTACAGCAGTACAGATTTCACGTTAGAGTTGAAAATTCGGATCTTCGTGCGGAGACTAATCTGATTTGACTTCCAGATGTTTCGTAAACTCGCAAAAGCAGCCCTTGCCTTCTTGATCCGTGCACCTATGTCACTCTTGGTTCCGCCGTCCGACGCTATCTGGCTGCCAAGATATTGGAAACTTTCAACCTTCTCCACTTCCTGACCAGCTACCGTAAAATTGGATGGATTTCCCGTGTTGATATCCAACGATTTAGTCTTGCTGACGTTGATGTTGAGACCTGTCGCTGAGGAGCGTTCGGCGAGATCGTCGAGCTTACTCTGCATGTCAGAACGCCGTTGTGATACTAAAGCAACGTCATCCGCCAAATCTAGGTCGTTTAGATGCTCCATTGTAATAGGCTGCCAGAGCAACCCACGGTTCGGCACACGGTCGATCGCACCAACCATTATCTCGTCGATTACGATGAGGAACAGTAGCGGTGATAGAATACATCCTTGCCTCACTCCAGCGACTACCCGAATGGGGTCAGATAGGGCTCCGTTGTGCAGCACCCTGCACGTGAAAGCCTCATACTGAGCTTCGATGAGGTTGACGATTTTATCCGGAACTCCCTTGCGCCTTAGGGCGCCCCACAGGTTTTCGTGGTTGAGTCGGTCGAAAGCTTTTTCGTAGTCAATGAAAACCAAGTAAAGGGACTCTTGGAATTCGTTGACCTGCTCCAAGATTATGCGGAGCGAGACAATATGGTCCACACAGGATCTTCCAGCACGGAATCCCGCCTGCTGCCGTCGGAGAGTCGCGTCGATCTTCTCCTGTATCCGGTTGAGGATAACTTTGCATAGAACTTTGAGAACACAACACAGTAACATAATGCCACGCCAGTTATCGCATACAGTTGGGTCCCCCTTCTTTGGGACCTTCACTAAGACGCCCTGCATCCAGTCAGCCGGAAAAGTCGCGGTGTCCCAGATATTGCAGAATAGTTGATGCAACATTTGTGCAGATAGCATGGGGTCAGCTTTGAGCATCTCTGCTGATATGCGATCGACCCCGGGAGCCTTGTTGGATTTCATGGTTCGGATAGCAGCTTCGATCTCCGGTAGGGATGGCGCCTCAGAATTGACGCGAGTGATGCGTCGCACTCTTGGCGGTTCATGCCGAGATGTTGATGGCTGGTTGACCGACGAAACTTGTAGAAGCTGTTCGAAGTGTTCAAACCAGCGTTTCAGCTGATCAGTGGGGTCGGTGAGCAACTGACCAGTCGCGTCCTTCACTGGCATCCTAGGATTCATCCTTGCTCCACTCAGGCGTCGTGAGATATCGTAGAGGAGACGGATATCGCCTGTTGCTGCGGCTTTCTCACCTTCATCGGCTAGGGAGTCCACCCACGCTCGCTTATCCCGCCTACACGAGCACTTCACTTCCTTCTCGAGAGCCGAATACAGTTGGCGGGCCTGGTTCTTCGCTCCTCTGGTTCTCGCCCGCTCTATCGCGGCTTTTGCATTTCTCCGCTCCTCTATCTTCCTCCAGGTGTCATCCGTGATCCACTCCTTTCTCTGAGCGCGCAGCTCGCCCAGGTTGTTTTCACTCGTTTCAGTAAAGGCATCCTTGATCGCCGTCCATTGCTCTTCTACGCTGCCACCATCAGGAATATCCGCAGCTCTGGTCTCCAGTTCCTCGACGAATGACCTTTTTACTGCTGGATCTTCCAATCGGCGTGTGTTGAATCGCCGTCCGAGCCGCTCCTCCCGCCGCTGGACCCGCGCGATACGAAGGCGGATCTCTCCAACGAGGAGATGGTGGTCAGACGCGATGTCGGCACTGCGTTTGTTCCGAACGTCAAGAAGGCTCCTTCTCCATTTTCGGCTGATGCAGATGTGGTCGATTTGATTTTCGGTATGTCCATCACGGGAAACCCACGTGACTTTGTGCACTGGTCGATGGGGGAAGAGCGAACCCCCGATCACCATGTCGTTATTGCCACAAAACTCTGCCAACAGCTCACCGTTTTCGCTCATTTCGCCAAGACCATGGCGCCCCATGACACGCTCATAATCCGTGTTGTCGGAGCCGATCTTCGCATTGAAGTCGCCGATGTAGATCTTGATGTCACCTCTCGGAATTTTATCCACGACTGCATTCAGTTGACTGTAAAAGTTCTCTTTGTCCTGTAACTCGGCAGCATCGGTTGGCGCATAACATTGGATTATGGTTAGGTTACGAACCCGCGTTCTGAATCTGGCAACGATTATCCTCTCATTGATAGGTTCCCACTTGATGAGCGCCGCATTTGCTTGGGCGCTAAGCAGGAAACCAACTTCACGGTGGCGGGGAGCGTTTTCACCTCGAATACCAGAATAGAGTAGTACCTGTCCCGACGGCAGCTTGTGTTCTCCAAAGTTTGGCCAACGGACTTCGCTTAGTCCCAGGATTTCGAGCTTCATGCGTCGAGCCTCGCTGGCGAGTTGTGCCAGCTTCCCCTGTTGGGCTAGCGTTAGTACATTCCATGTTCCAATTCTTGTCCGTTGTTTTGCGCTAAAAGTCGTTGCCGTAATATCAGTCCGTGATCTTTCTCTATTGGTTTCTGTAACAGTTGTAAAGTTTCGGGGACAGTAGGTAGTTAGCCTAAGGTCTCCTATCCGCCGTGATGGGGCTGCCATCTTGGGTATAGCTTTCGGGGATAAGCATTTCTTGTTTCAGCCGCTGGATGCCAGGCAGACGCTGTTTGAGCCGCACCTCCATGGTGGACAGACGCTCAGTTATTGTGTAGATGGGGCTGCCATCTTAGATTTAGCTGACACAATACAGCATTTCTTATTCAGCCGCTGGATGCCAGTCAGACGCTGTTTGAGCCGCACCTCCATGGTGAACAGACGCTCAGGCCGTGTAGGCCGAACCCGCTAGCAGGACTGCCTATTAATATTTACGTTTTTTTTTTTGACAAACAGATTCTGACGCACCATGTCTCTTTTCTTCATTCGTGTTGTTTTGAAAGATCTAAAAGTCATGAATACCTGAGATGTGTCAATGATGTAAATATTTACACGTAATGCATTGAAGAATTACATTGAGAAAGATAGAAATTCAAATTAACTCTTATAAGGGCCGTTTGATTTGTCAGATGAGTTCTGATGAACGCAGCATGGCTTTACTGTTGGCTCACACTCCGGTACGGTGCAGACACAGTAGTGGCAGTAGGATGCTTCCCTTTTGAACTGAGTGTTCACAGTATCCTTTTACAACAACGTCACCTTACATACCGTTCATTTTAAAACCAAATCACCAAAACTGTCCTTTTGAGGGCCATGCAACATCAAAACGGCTCTTTTCAGAGCCACAAACCATCAAAACGGCCCTTTTCAGGGCCACCACAATTTTCAAAGAAAGAGTTAGTTTGGAATATTTTCTAACACAAGAATAATTACACATGAACTGAAAAAGACTCTTAAAAAACGGAAAATGGATACTGACCAATTATTACACTTCGGAAGAAATTCATGGATGTCATAATAATATCGGGAATTTTAAATAACTTTCGTTCAAAATAGTTAACATATGTGAGCGTAGTTCTTTACGTTAACTGTTCGTACAAGTTGGGGTGTCCCTTGTAGTTTTTTCAAGTCTTCTTGAAGACACCTGCTGGTTGATCAGGTCTTCTTCTTCTTCCTCACATTTCAAGCTTATTGCGTATGGCATATTAGCTTTTTGCGTGCTCTCAACTTATTGTTCTAGATGCACTTCCACAGTTATATATTAAGAGCTTTCGATGCCTGTACCATTTTTGCATTGGTATAATTGTGTGGCAAGTACAATCATACTCTATGCCCAGGGAAGTCGAGAAATTTTCCAACCCGAAAAATTCCTAGACCGGACCGGGAATCGAACCCAGCCACCTTCAGCATGGTCTTGCTTTGTAGCTGTGCCTTTACCGACTGAGGCTAAGGGAGGTTGATCAGGTACTATACACAGGTAAAATTCGAAACTGTACAACAATTCAAATAATGTCTGTCCTCTCAGCAAACCAGATCATTCCTATTTTTCCAAAGATCTTCAGATGATCAGAGATCTCCAAAAACTTCTCTGGATATGTTTTCAAGACTTCAGGTTGATTAAGTATTGTTTTGAACGTCACCAACTTGAATCACGTCTCTCAGGTATTCACCCACGATACCAGGTTGTTCAGAAATAGTTTTAAAGGTCATCAGGAGACCAGTGATCTCCATAAATAATCATCAATCCATATCACATTCCTAATATATTTTCTCATATATGTAATACCAAGCAACGCAGAAATTATTTCATAATCCTTCAGATAATCCGAGATCCCCATAAAGTACTCAGGATATTTTTTCAATTCTTCTTTAAGACACCTGGTTGATCAGGTACTATTCTGAAAATTCGAAATACTGTCTCTCCTCTCAGGAAACCAGATGCTTCCTAATTTTTCCAAAGATCTTCAGGCGATCAGAGATCTCCAAAAACTTCTCTGGATATTTTTTTATATTTCTGGTTGATCAATTACTCTGAAGATCTTGTACTGTCCAATATTACAAATCACGTTCTCTTATGATACCAATTTGTTCAGATATTATTCCAAACATCTGGTGATCAGATTGGGGATGCATACCAAACACTTTTTAAAACGGTGCGTTGCGCTGATCGTGTTTCAGTTTCATTCTTGACAGTCTTAAATTTTAGAACCAAGTAGTTTGAAACAATTTTGAAACTCAGCATTGCGAACGGTTGAAGGGAATATTGAGAAACGTGCAACGCAATTCTGAGGAATTTTTAAGAGAATTTAAATGAAGCTCCAAAGAAATTTCATAGAAAAATCTGAGAAAAATTCCATTCATGTTATGAGGATTGTTAAGAAAAAAATCTTGGATTTCTCATGGAAATTCTAACGAAAAATATAATGACATTACTTATCACACATAAATCCGTCACATGCTAATTTTCTAGGTGCAATGTACTAGTAGAAATGAACTCAATTGATTTAATTGGTGTTAACTTTAAAAATCCTTTGAAAAGTCTTCCGGCTTTACTTACACCTTTAATACAAAATTGTAAGAGATTCTTACATGTTCAATTTTAATATTTTCAAATATTTTCGGATTGAAAAAAAACATAGATTTTATAATAATAAATAACTTCATTGTCAGCCAATAGCATATCGGCAGCACAGGGGCTAGCAAATTGAGATCAGTGATGTAACAAAACCAGTTTTTGCAATGAATGGTTTTGGATAGAAAGTCCTCCCTTGAAGCTATGTTTTGGTGCACATGGACCACCAAAGCAATCTCTATTTTAGAAATGTTTACGATTGACTAGGGTTTAAGCTTGTTGATACACTCGATTAGTAATTTCAAATCTACTCACCTTCCAATGATGCCGATCTTTTCCTTCTTCATCTTTGAAGCCATCGTAATTCCTGCTTTCCTGCTACTAAGCTTAGGAGCGTCGTCAAAGAGATAAACAATTGAAACGCCAATCAAACAACAAACAACACTAGTTTGGGCACACTTTATTGACAACAAACGCAACGAAAATGCAAATTAGGTCGGAACTGAAACTAGGCTACAACAATACGCTCTCTACAGCTAGCTCACAATGAAGCAGGAATTTGCGTCCGCACTTGCCGGGAGAGAACCACCAACTGATTGACGAAGACTGTGACGACGGCGCGACGTCGACTCTCGCGCGACCCGCCGGTTATGTCCACTTATCGTTCACCGCAGAGAATGTCCGAGTACATAGGTAGGTATGTGTATTGCATGTAAACATTGCGCCGCGGTGGTTGCGGTCAAACAAGACGCGCCGGTTAAGTCGTGAACCTTTTTAAGAGACAGACGGGAGAGGGATTGGTGGTCTCAATCATTTCGTTTTGGATGTACGGTTTTACAATCCAGGGCAGCGTCGGGATGCTGACGATTGATTTTCCGGAACTAGAACTCGTAATGAAGGATGACATTCTTCTAACTGTGAACAATACCAACCAGCGTCGACTGCAGTTTTTCAACTCACTCGCTGTTCTTATCATCTGTGAGTTTGTTAATATTGTCCAGTTTCAGAGATAAGCCGTCAAGTAGTCTGTACACATTTCCTACAAAATCTTGATAAACAGACAGAGAAATAATAACGCTATTTACCACTGATAATGGCTTTCAACCTGCTGGTCTGTAAAAAGTTTTGATAAGAAGCACTCGGAGATTTATAACAATAATATATGAGCTACTTCTTCAACACTAAAGATAGAAGTATGGAGTTGGAGCGTGATTTACTAGGAGCGTAGTTATCAAGTTCGTACTACCGCGTATATTCTGGATGTAGCAATTAACCCAATTGCAACGGGTCAGTGCACAATCGGACCCGTGAGTTGCGCGATTTGATTGCAATGTACGGAAGCTGGGTGTGATTAATGACTAACGTCGGAATTTGACTAATGAGGTGTTAGTCCAAGTGACAGTAATTGGTTGGAAATAGAAGGTTGATAACTGTTAATCTGAGATTCTCCATTAGTCGCGAACGCAAAGCATACTATTGTACTGGGGATCGATCAAAGCAAAGCTGGAGCCCAAATTGAAATCAAACAATATGCTGCTATGATGTAACTTATCTTGAATACTCCAGTTGATCTAATTTTGGTTGATTTAACGGTTAACATAGCAATAATCTGGATCAGCATTTGTAAACAATCCTGCGCTTTGTGAGGAAAGGGCTTTAGAACGGTTTGTTTACAAATGCTGATGGGCCCTTTTCTAGTGTTGATCCAGAAATGAGAACAATATTTTACATTTTCAATCAAATGGAAAACGAATTCTGCTTTCAATGAAATCAATTTGAGTACTGACCTAGCATTCTTAAAATTTAACTGAATACGGGCCGGGTGTAAATAGTTAGCATCCATGCTTCTCACGCTAAAAGACTTGAGTTTAAATCTCAGCCAGACAAGTCACGAATGACCAAAAACGTGTCAAACAAACCAGCTCAACGACAGATAAACTTAACTTAAATTTTCAACAAAACGTTAACAGCTAAACTTGACGTTAAGCAAGTAAGTTTTCATTATGATAGGAACTGCATAGGGTATTTATAAAATAGAGACCACCATGTTTTGTAGCAAATAATACCATAAAATTGAAGCTGAAGGCTTCCTGAATAATAACACGGTGTGCAACCTGTAAATTTTACATCACAATGATCGTATTATTTGATTTTAAATGTCTATATGCAGCGCCAGTTTTGACATCGATTGTTACTTTATTGGCCGTAATGATTATTTCAACGGAGCATTCTTCCATTGCTAATAGGTTAGTTATAAATTTATTAAATTACAAAAAAAATACTTGGTGTTTTTAAATAGTTTATAGTAAGCATCCACGACCCATACAAATAAAAAAAGGTTTGAATGCCTATTTACGGTGAGGGAAGGGGCGTCTGAAATCTTTCAAAACCTGCCTATGGTTTCTGGACACTTCCAAAAGATATTGCATAGGGTAGAGAACTACTACGGCCTAATCGCCCATTTTGGGCCTATCGATCAGAAAACTTCAAATAAATCCATGATTTCAGAGCTAACAAGTCAATTATGCGTTTGGTACAATACTTTAGTTAATAAGCTACCGAACGAAGTCAATGAGAACGCATGATATGAAGGTTTGCACCCATTATCCCCAACACCAAAAGAAGTGCTACGACCGAATCAATTTTTATCTTCATTCGATAGGCCGAAGTGAATTCATTGGCGTTTCAATGCGTTAGGCCGAGTTTACGTACATACGGAAAGGTAAATAAATTTGGAAGCCATCAGTAATAATAACATTCCGTTTGGTGCTAAACTGCGCTAGATTAAGGAAGATTAAGTGCGGGTTGTGCTTAATAGGCCGGAAATGGGGTATTTAACCCTACCATATTAATGGTGCAATATTAATATTTCCGTGCAATGGCTGAAAGTCTCTTTAATAAAGTAACCTAACCGAATATTATATTCCTGTAAGTGAGGCGGTCAATGTATTTTGTTTTCATATGAGTCATAAGTAACACAAAGCGAGAAGATGCATAGCCCAATCCTACTCTAAGTGTTTGATGATTATCAACTTCGGTAATTTTTACCGAACTTTCAACAGCTGAACTGTTCGGTAAAAATCAGGCATTTTAATTCATTAGTTTTAAGACTTGAAAACAAGGAAAATGGCATCACAATGGCAAGACTCAAATATTTAAGCAAGACTGACAGTGCTTTGAAACTAAATATAAGTGGAACAGCTTTCGAAATGAGGCTCAAAGATTTACCCTAAGAGAAAGAGGAGACAATACGGAGGCGAAAACGAACCACTTTTCTGTCAAACGCGAACCAGCTCGTGATTGGCCGATTTGAAGTGCGTAAGATAGAGATAGAGATTTAAGAGTAAGCAGCCAGTTGTCTCCTCTTCCTCTTAGGTTTTACCGAACGTTCAGCTGTTGAAAGTTCGGTAAAAATTACCGAAGTCGATAATAATTTCTAAGTGAGTAGACCTGGTTCGTATGTGAATGTTTTGGGATGGTAGGGATGATAGAAATAAGCAGAAAGTTAATTTGCTTGAATTTAATATTTTTGCACATCTTCTTTGCATTGTCAAGCTTATTGCTTATCACATATTCACTTATTGCGTGCTCTCAAATTTAATGTTCTAGATGCACTTCCACAGTTATTAATTGAGAACATTCGATGTCTGTACGTACCATTTTTGCATTAGTATAATTCTAGATAGAGCTGAAATTAGGGCGTATCAGCTTTCATAAACAATGACTTCTCTCGATCCAAAGTCATGGCTCTCCCTGGCATATCGACATCACGATCGAGTAGGCGAAAACTTCCCCTACCCGATGGTATGTGCCACTTGTCACTCATGGTGAAGTGATAGCCGTGTAAATAAAATGGGAATCACTTCACCGTGAGTGATAAATTGTCACTTCACCGTGAAGTGACATCGGTAATAATGGCCAAAGCGTATTGAAATACGGTTGTAGGAACGAATTGTTTTGTGAAATAAGAAGCTCGGTGGCCTTGTGGTGACCCATTTTGCTTACTGAGCAGAAAATCATGGGTTCAATCCCAAGTTTCTTCACATTATAGAGTTAGACTCTAGTCGCTCTATATCGGTCATAATATTATGTAAAGTCGACGTCATGAGTAGCAGTAGTAACAACAATCAATACGAAACTAACGATTTTAAATTGGCTCACTACTTGACTAGCCTATTGGTCCCAAGCAAACGATTAACGTACCCCATTCTAATGTGTTACCTGACTTATAACGAATATACTTTGTATACGAGTACCCCGAATACAACGTATAGTTCGGCTAATTTTACATTGCAAATGCTATGCAAAATTAGACGAGTCATACGTTGTATTCGGGGTACTCGTATACAACGTATATTCGTTATAACTCAGGTAACACAGTAGTCGAAATTCTAGTTGTGTGTTTTGATTCGTTATGAAAGTTTGACAGATAAAATGAGAAGTTAGTGGAGAGTACCAGAGCTGAACCAAAAAGTTGAGCACGTTTCTTCGGGACCTTCTAGTCTTAGAGTTACCTCTATGGTAATTATCCAATCAGAAGCTAATTAATTTACAATTGTTCGGTCGTACTTCTTACATTAGTTTTAACGTGTTTTAATTAATTACGCGTAACTATCTTCATGTCATCTGACATTAGTTTCGTGTTTAAATTTTCTATGTTTTCATATTAGCTCTGTAACTCTTACCTCATTTGGGGAAATTCTATCTATCAGTCTACATATGTGTGGAACATGGCGGACTTTTTCTTATTCTCTCACTCCACCACAAAATCCTATAAGGAACTGTCAAAATTTAGGTGAACAAACGTCACTTCGGCACTGCCGTCCCGGCGAATTTGCGTTGCTTTAAAATTTGTGTGGCATAGAAAAGTTTAGGCAGGATTTAAAAAGATAAGCAATATATGAGATAAGCTTGACTGTCAACGACGGGTTCTGGAATCCAAGTTGGGAAAGTTTGGGATCTCCGTCTGGAACGTCTGGAATTCCCGTCGAAAGCATTTTGAATCTCCGTCGTGAACGTCTGAAATCTCCGTCGTGAACGTTTGGAATCATCTTCGGGACCATCTGGAATTTCCATCTAGAACGTCTTGTAGCTAATGCAGCTACGTCTATAATCTAAGTCGGGAACGTCTCTAATCCCCACCGATACCGTTTGGAATCCCCGTCGGGAATGTCTGGAATCTCCGTCTGAAACGTCTTGAATCAAAGTCGGGAAGGTTTCGAGGGGTGAATCGATTAACTTGGGACCGATGAGAGTACCAGAGCTGAGCCAACAAGTTATTACGTTATTTCGGGACCTTCTAGTCTTAGAGTTACCTCTATGGCAGTACTACCAACTGAGATACTTTTAAATTGACCGTTAAATGCTTGGTCGGTGAATAACTTGTGAGTGTTATGTCTGTTTGTCTGTGTTAATACCATTCCATCAATATTTCATACATCAGCATGGATTAAAGGGTGTCCACGATGAAATTGCCACACACAAAATTGATTCGCAAAATTCGAGTTTTCATCCGATTGCCATCAAATTTTCAGCGATTGAGAAATAACTATTAAACTTCATTTTACCATTTTACTCGTATTTTATTTACAGTCCATACGCAAATGCCCGCACCTTGGCCTTAACCCCGGCCATAAGATTCTGCACAACCTGTGAATCAACCGTTTTTTGCATGTAAACCCATACTTTCTTCAGTTCCTCGACTGTCTTCACTACCTTAGGTCGTTTAAGAAGGTGCTGCTTCATAATCGCCCAGTACTTCTCGATGGGGCGGAGCTCCGGAGTGTTGGGAGGGTTGAACATTTTCGGCACGAAATTGACCTTATTGTCCGCATACCACTTCAGCACGTCCTTGGAGTAGTGGCATGAGGCCAAATCCGGCCAGAAGATTGTTGGGACGTTGTGGGCCTTCAGGAGAGGAAGCAGCCGCTTCTGTAGGCACTCTTTTATGTACACCTGTCCGTTCATCGTGTCCTGGGTCACGAAAGGTGCACTCCGCTTCCCGCACGTGCAGATGGCTTGCCAAACCAGGAATTTCTTCGCAAATTTGGACATCTTCTGAGTGCGGAGATGCTCCGGAATGCTGAACTTATCCTTGACCGTGAAAAACAGGTTGCCGGGGATCTGTTTGAAGTCGGCCTTCACATATGTTTCGTCGTCCATGATGCAGCATTCAACTTTCGTCAGCATGTTGAGGTACAACTTCCTGGCACGGGTTTTGGCGGACTTGTTCTGCTTCTCGTCGCGATTAGGGGCCTTTTGTACCTTGAACGTTCTAAGCCCAGCCTTAGTTTTGGCCTTCTGGACAAAACTTCGGTTTAGGTGCAGCTTCTTAGCCACATCCCTAACGGAGGCGTTCGGATTTCGGTTGAAGGCCCCAACTACGCGGTTGTGATTTTTGGTGTTGTATGGAATACTTTTTCCTTCACTTCTGGGCTTCCGATCGGTGGTCAACCGTTCCTCGAACCGCTTAATCACTCGCGACACCGTGGAATTCGCGATTCCCAACGTTTTAGCGATGGAACGATGCGAGATATCCTTGTTCTCGTGACGAATGCGCAAGATTTTATCACGCACGAGCTGTTCTTTCGACTCCATTTCCCCAAGTTTTGATCACAGGACTTTAAAACTTGCAGGATGTAAATAATGAACTATGAACTAAATCCACCCAAATTTTCATTAAATTCTACCCAACGGTTAAAAAGTTAGAGCAATTTCATAGTGTGGCAATTTCATCGTGGACACCCTTTACGTTGATTGCTGTTGAAGCTTGTTTTGCTGTGTGGGAATCATTGTCGGGAACGTCTCGAATCTAACTAGGAAACATCTGTAATCCAAGCCGGGATCGTTTCGAATGGCCTAGAACGTCTGGAGTTTCCGTCGAATAGAGATAAAAGGGGCATAGTGGAGCATAATGAGCATACCGCACTCCAATCCCAAACCTCTCATTGTTCGCAACAAATTAATTTGTAGTAGATTCAATATCACATCTGAAAGCATCATTGGGACCATCTGGAACCTCCATCGGGAACGTCTGGAACCACCTTCTAGAACATCGGGAATCTTCGCCTGGAACGTCTCGAATATCATTCCGGCACTTCTGTATTCCAAGTCGGGAACGTTTCGAATATTGGTCTGAAATGTCTGAAATTCCCGTCCAGAAGCATCTTCGCGAAATTGTGGAACCTCCGTCAGGAATGTCTATCGAGAGCATCTAGAATTTTCGTCGGGAACGTCTGGAAACTAAGTTGGGCACGTGTGCAATCCAAGTCGGGAACGTCTGGAATTCCCGTCGGAAAAGACTGGAATCTTCATTGGTTGCGTAAGGAATAATCTTCGAGAACATCTGGAACCTCCGATGGGAACATCTAGAATGTCCGTCGGGTGAGTCTCGAATCTAAGTCGGGAACGTATTTAATTTCCGTCTGGAACGTTTGGAATCATCTTCAGGCACGTCTGGAATCGTTGTGGAAATCGTTCGGAATCTCCGTAGTGAACCTTCTAAGAATCATCTTCGGGAACGTCTGGACTCTTCATCGGGAATGTCTTGAAACTAAGTCGGGCATGTTTGGAATCCAACTTTTTGGAATTCCCGTCGAAAATGTTTCGAAACTCCATCGGATTACGTTTGAAACCTCGGTCGGGAACGTCTGGTACAACTTTCTGGAACATCAAGGTCTAGAACGTCTCGAATATCCGACGAGAACAGGTGGAGTGCCCGTCTTGAACGATCGGAATCATCTTCGGGAACGTCTGGAATCTCCACCGGGAACTTTTCAAAACTAAGTCTGGAATTAACCACTCCATTCGAGCAGTTCAAATGACGTTTACTACCACTCGAATTTTGAAATAAAACATTATTTTAAGAATTTTTCTTCTAGAACCTCGAGAAAAGTAGCCAACATTTGTGCGTTTCATGAAAAATAAGAAATTAGTTGGTCCAGTTTTGTGAAATCGCTGGTAGAAAGTCACGCCAAAACTGCTTGACAAAGTGGTCAATTCCCATCGTTTGCGTAAAATAAAGAAACCAACCAACCAACCAACCGTCGTGATCGTCTGAAACCTCCGTCTTCATCGGAAGTGACTCGAATCCAAGTAAGGAATGTTCCGAATCTTCATCAAAAACGTGTGGAAACTAATTCGGATTGGATTCCCCGTTGGGAGTCTCTGCTGGTGTGGCCAAAGAAGAATGCTGTATGACCGTCGGAAATGTCTGGAATCTCCGTTAGAGTGTCTGCAATCCGACTTTGCTTTTTTAGACGGCAAAACACGCATTAGTGACTACGCGAGGCTTGGTAGCGTAGTGGTTACCGTTTATAAACATAATTAATCAGTGAACTTGTACATAGAAGATGGAAATCTAATTTCAAGCTCCATCTTATGAGCAATTTCACCGGTTCTGATCAAGTAACGAAGTAGCGGCAACACCACGAAGTGCATTTTTTTTAAACGCATTATTGACGACGAACAGCAAATTTGACAGATTAGGATTAAGATAAGATCAATAGTGACAAATCGGATTAAACATCTCTTGATTAGAAAAAAGTAGGCGATATTAGAAAGTATTAGTATATACAAAGATTACAATCTTACAAAGATTAAATCTTCTTCATCTTCTTTCCTGTATTTAACGTTGGTCTCTGTTCCGCAATCTAGTGTAATACCTCGTTCACATTACAGCGTACATCACGTGATATAAGATGTCTTGCAATGAGCACTCATACATCTAGTTTTCACTGGAAATCCTATGTATGAGTGCTCATTGCAAGACAGCCTATATTACGTGATATAGGCTGTAATGTGAACGGGGTATAAATCATGGTGAGTATATCCCGCATAAACAATAACCATAAGAAGCGCCTAACAACCAATTCGGGATATAATCCCAACTTTATGTGGTATGGACGTACCATCTATGATATCGTAAGTGCATGGTACCCGTTTATTAGGGATAATATGTAGTCACCTTGTTGTAAATTACCGACGGACATCGATTGCCATCCATTAATGGAGATGCATAAAAAAAAATTATTTAGTTTTCTCAATTTTTGCATGGATTTATAGATATTAATTTTTTTCCCCCGTAGTGAAAACCAAATTCCAGTTAAATGTTTAGGTAATAAAATAAAAGCATTTAAAAAATTCTCTCCGTGAAGGGAGTTTGAAACCATCATCATCAATAGTTCTTGTGTTCGCCACGAGAGCCAACTTTTAATCGCGAATTTTTGTGATTCCTTTCAGTGTCCGTCGTAAACAAAGTGCTCATGCACATTACAACAGATAGACACATGTAATGAACCAGTGCCAACATTTCAAAGGGGCGTAATTGCTTTTGTAAACAATGGCTTTAGCCGTCCATTTCTCGCAAATAAAAGCCCACCCTTCCTAATTATCAATGCTAGCTGGTACAGGAAACATTTCTCTACCTGCTGGTGTCATGCATTTTTATGATTGAGCTTTCAACCGCGAGAAATCGACGACTAAAACCATTGTTTACAAATGCCATTACGCCCCTTTGAAATGTTGGCACTGAATATTGTTGAATTCGTTCATTATTTCTAAACAAACATAAAAATTAACGCAATACTTACTTTATTAATTGCTTTCACAACGATTATCGCACCGAAAAAGTAACACTTTCAACTGTAAATTCGGTTTATTGCTGGTGGCACAATTTCACTGCAAACCTTCGCTTCGATCCGCTTCAGCTCTAATCCAAAACAAACCGCTGTCACCTTCGCTTCGGAACGGGAACACTACAAAAGTCGTACCGAACCCAACCCACCCACTCATCAGCTGTCAGAGCCGAACCGAATCCGAGCGAATCAGCTTTCAGCCCTTTCAGCCAGTGTAGTGTCATTCGGTTCGGTCATCGCGAAAGGTGAAAATATGGCGATATTTTTGTACGACCAGTGAAAATTTTCCACCCAAAGTTTACCCAGTTTAATTCGATTGTGCAGAAGAGTGCCTTATCCGGTAACGAAATCCGAGAAGCATGAGCTATCAGATAACGCTGCAGGATTGCATCAACGATAATACGTTCGATATCGATGCATTTGAACGGGCGATCCAGCAACAGGTTCCGCAGTACTTCCAGAACCTAGCTGAGGAAAATCCTCAGTTCGGCTCGCTGGATCTAGTGCCATCCGAAGGGGGAGGAGGTTTCAGCGTAGATCATCAACAGCAGCATCAGCGGGATAGCCAGGAACATCAAAGTAGCGGATGTGGAAGCAGCAGCAGTAGTGAAAATAGTATTCTGATTGAGTTTGAGAAAATTGAAGAACAGGAGGACGGAGGGTACTTATGAAGAGATTTTTCTTCTTTTCCTGTTTTTATTTTTGCTCTCTCCTTTTACTAGTTTTTTTTTTCTTTAATTTCTTTGACCTGCGCGCGGCGCGCTGTCTTTCGCGTTTCTATCTCTTTCCTATGCTCCCTCTTGCGCGGCTGGCTAGCTATCTATACTATACTTATACATCTTGAAGATTTTAGTCCATCATAATGTGCTACCTTTACCTAGTGCCATAAATTAATTTACCATCCACCCACGGAGACGGGACACTGCCAACCAACCACCAATCTCACATTGTCGTCGCTCCACACCGTCTTCCGTTATATCTGATTATTTGGTTTTTCGTGCTCTTCTAGGGGCACGATTTTTTGCTAATCTTGATTTCTCACAACTTGTTTGATTTAATTAAAGCTGATTTGCAGATTTTGGAGAATCGATTGCAAATCATCGTCGTAACTGGCGTGAATAATCAAAGCAGGATGAGCTGCACACTCAGATAAAATCGAGAGATAGATAAAGAAGCAATTATGCTACGCCAATCTTGGTGAAATGGTGTAATTAAAGGGTAAATAGAATGAATCACCCCATCAGTTGGGATACCCTCGCAAAGCGTCATATCACGTATCATGCTTGTTCACTGGTAGTTTAATACTAATTTTATTTTTAAATTTTTAGATAGAGCAAACATTTCGCGGATTGAAACAAACTTATCTGAAGTGGGACAAGAGTTTTGTGTGTCTATTTGATGGACGAATGGGGGAAAAAGTGCATTGTTAAAAAAAACCGAAACTGGAATACAATGTCATAACAGATATTTGAGTGGTTAATTGGCAATATATTGCATTGCTTATTTTTGATGTTCCAATGGATGAAATTGAATTCCGTTCTTAGTAAAAGTATCCGAGATCTCAAATACTTGTGGAGCCACGAGATAATCTTGTCCGGTACTCTCAATTTTGCTAGGGTTGCAATGAGGATTGCTGAGTCGACTGAGTCGTACGCTATGCTCACATCCAGAAAATTTACGAAGGTTTCATTGTGTATCGAGTTGACCCCGTAGTTGATGCAAGTCGATGCCAAGACATGCTCCCGGAAACCAAAGGACAGTTCAGGGATCAAGTCCTTGATGGTTGCGATTTCTGCCAACCTGTTCTTGATCGCAGAGTTTCTCAGCTTGATTTCGATATTCATCAGGGCAATTGGTCTCATGCTGTTTGGTGAGTCTGTACTTCCAGGTTTCTTCGGGATTGGCTTGATTTCGGTGTACCTCCACTGATCCTCAGAAACGAATACTAGGGTGAGCATTTCGCAGATTTTATTTTGCAACTTCGCATATAGTTGCTTAATCACGACATACGACATTCCGTTTGGTCTTGCAGAAGAATGGTTCTTCCTTTGTCGAAGGACGGATTCCATCTCGTATCCTTCGAGAAAACGGTATCTCTCTGTATCTACAGGCCGGACTCGATTATCCGGGGCTCGATTATCCGGAGTCATATTTTTTTACCTATCTTGTAAATTATTTTTCATAAACCGCTTGGAAAACCGACTTTCGATCAGAGGACGAGTAACATACATCGTTCGACTCAGTCTAACAAGATCTAGAAATGACTATATTTAAGTGTTTGTGTGCCTTTGTTACAAAATCCGGCGTTAAGGGGTTTTGAATTAACTTTGACCTGAAAGGAATCGATATCATGTGCCACAACAACATACAAAAACTGAATCCCATGATGGTCCGTTCACTAATTACGTCACGTTTCAGGGGGGGGGGGGGGGAATGGCAACCGAAAAAAATTTTGACGATCCGTAAAAAATTTACCAAAGGGCCTGTAACCCTTAACTTTGTACAACACACATGAGTTTTCCATTGCCATTTTGTTGCTGAAACGATCTGAAACCAACGAGTATTCCTCAAAAAACTTGTTTTGATCTAAACAAGCTAAACTTTGATTACAGAAAACACATAAAAAATGCGGATAATAGGGAAAATGTAAATGGAAACCGCGAAAACTGTGACCATACTACGTGGGATTTGACTTAATTGATTTCAACATGGAGTATATCAAGATTCTGACAAGATAGAAAGTTACTGTCTCTGACAAAGTTGTTCAGGAGATCATAGCCTTGTCGCTGGTGGACAGTAGTTCAGAATTTTCTCACTACGTAGCGCTAGTATACATGTGAAATTATCGCATGTGATATATCTCGAGATCCTGACCAGATAAAAAGTTACTGTCTTTCACAAAGTTTTTAAGGATATCAAAGCCTATTGCTTGGTGCTCAATAGTTCAGAATTTGCTCACTACGCGACGCTGGTATACACGTGAAATTCTCATATAAAATATCTCGAGTTCCCAACCAGTTAGAAAGGTACTGTCTTCGGCATAGTTGTTCAGGATGTCAAGGCTTTTTCGCAGGTGGACAGTAGTTCAGAGTTTTCTCACTTTGCGGCGCTACTATAGATGTGAAACTCTTGCATATAAAATATCTCTAGTTCCTGACCAGATAGAAAGTAAATATATTCGGCAAAGTTTTTCAGGAAGTCAAGATCTTTTTGTTGGTTGACAATGGTTTAGAATTTTCTCACTATGCGGTGCTAGTATATACGTGCCTTTCTCCCATATTCAATGGCTCGAGATCTTGATCAGCTAGAAAGTTGCTGTCTTCGGCAAAGTTGTTTCGGGGGTCAAGACTTTTTGGCTGGTAAACAGTATTTAATAATTTTCTCACCACGTGGCGTTAGTATACATGTACACTTCTCGCATATGCTATATCTCGAGATCCTGATCAGATAGAAAGTTGTTCAGGAGGTCAAGGTCTTTTGGCTCGTGGACAGTAGTTCAGAATTTTTTCACTTCATGATGCTAGTATACATGCGAAATTCTCGCATATAAAATATCTCACGTTCTTGACCAGATAGAAAGTTACTGTCTTGAACAAAGTTGCTTAGGAGTTGAAAGCCTAGAGTTTATGAGAAAATTCTAAACTGATGTTCACTAGCCAAAATACTTTGACCTCCTGAATAACTTTGTTGTAGACAGTAACTTTCTATCTGAATAGGATCTCGAGATATAGCATATGCGAGAAGTGTACATCTATGCCACGTGGTGAGAAAATTCTGAACTACTGTTTACCAGCTAAAAATGCTTTGACCCCTGAACAACTTTGTCGAAGACAGTAACTTTCTATCTGGTCATGATCTCGAAACAAACCACATGCGAGAATTTCACGTGTATTCTAGCGCTACGTAGTGAGAAAATTTTGAACTACTGTCCACTAGCGAAATCTATCTGATCAGAATCTCGAGATATTTTACATGCGAGAATTTCACGTGTATACTAGCGCCACGTAGTGTGAAAATTCTGAACTATTGTGCACCAAGCAATAGGCATTGACCTCATGAACAACTTTTTCGAAGACAGTCATTTTCTACCTGTTCAGAATCTCGAGCTTAGCATACGCGAGAATTGTACACGTTTACTAGCGCCATGTGGTGACAAATTTCTAGGCTACCGTCCATCAGCCAAAAAGTCTTGACCCCCTGAACAAGTTTGCCGAAATCAGTAACTTTCTATCTGCTCAGGATCTCGAGCTATTGTATATGCGAGAATTGCATGTGTATACTAGCACCGAGTAGGGAGAAAATTCTGAACAACTGTCCACCAACGAAAAGATCTTGACTTCCTGAAAAACTTTGCCAAAGACATTTATTCTTTATCTCGTCAGGATCTAGTGATGTATCACATGCGAGAACTGAACATGTATACGATCACTACCTAGTGAGAAGATTTTGAACTACTGTTGATCAACAAAAAAGCTTTGCAAAGCTGAACAGCTTTGCCTAAGACAGTAACTTACTATCTGGTCAGGATCTCGAGATATTTTATACTAGCGCCGTGTAATGAGAAAATTCTGAACTACTGTCCACCAGCCAAAACTACTTGACACCCTGAACAAGTTTGCCGAAGACAGTAACTTTTATCTGCTCAGGATCTCGAGCTATTATATATGGAAAATTGCATGTATATACTACCGCCACGTAGTGAGAATTTTCTGAACTACTCCACCAACGAAAAGATCTGGACTTCCTGAAAAACTTTGCCGAAGACAGTAACTTTTTGTATGGTAAGGATCTAGAAATATTTTATATATGCGAGAATTTTACATGTATACTAGTGCCACGAAGTGAGAAAACGCTGAACTACTGTCCACCAAGATTTTGAACTACTGTTGATCAACAAAAAAGCTTTGCAAAGCTGAACAGCTTTGCCCAAGACAGTAATTTTCTATCTGGTTCTCGAGGATCTCGAGATATTCCATGTTGTAACCAATTAATTCAAATCCCACGTAGTACGGACACCGTTTATGCGGTTTCCATTCACATTTTCTCTATAATCCGCATTTTTGTGGGTTAACTGTGATGAAATTTTTTTGAGTAATGACGAGTAATGATGAATTTTTGTGTATTCTTTTTTTTCATTCACGTATTTTCGATTCATTACTCGAGAGCAGTGAATTGTCCCTCGGTTTCATCCAGAGTGGTGTTCGTCACGCTTTCTCCTTCATGTAAATGTGAATCATGGTTAAGCACAGCATTGACTATGTCAGCATCAGACATGACATCGAATTCCGCATTCTCGTCTTCATTTTCGCCTGCAGCCGCTTTATCAGCAACCATCAGTTGAATTGTTACACTATCATCCCTAGAGCACCGGAACTAATATTTGCAATGTTAACATTTCAAAAATATTAATGGAAAATGGTCGAAATTGATCGAGTGCGTTAAGTTAGGAACCGCGTCAAATATGGTGCCTTCACGGTAGCCGTGATTTTTAGCCAAGCTCAACTTTGTCTCTACACACTCGTGAGAGTCGCGAGACTACGATTTTTCTCAAGTTGAGGGGTCCCATGGCGTGGTTGGCTACACGTTCGCTTCTCAAACGGATGGTCCATGGGTTCAATTCCATTGATCTTCTTATCGAATTTTGATGTATTTTAATGTGCCTCATGATAGGTTACTATCCAAGTCCGATTCTGTTCACATTCCCGGGGCACCTCAAACTTGTCCGGAAGTGGCCAATATGGTCCAAGGTACTTAATTTTTTCCACCATTGATCTGGTTATCGAATTTTGATTTAATTTGATTAGTCGCTTAATGGGTTTTGTTCCTTTCAAGCCAAATTTAGCCTCATGGCCCAAACACCGGAACTTGTTCCGGCCATATCTACAAAACCAGTGGTCCGATTCCATAATCCTTCAATAGCGTTCAATGGGACCACTAAAAACATTAAATGAGATCACAAAAGACCAAAAAAATTTTTTTTTTTTTATGGCTCGATTATCCGGAGTGAAATTTTTTTCAAGACTCCGGTTAATCGAGTCCGCCCTGTATATAGTTAATGAGGTCTTCCGGGTGAGCACCCCACCATGTCCCGGAAATTGATCGTAGAAAGTTGTTTCAAATACGTAATGTGGGTACCCCAAGTGCATTTTGAATCAAACCAGACTCCAAGGTATTTGAAGGTCAAAGATTGGGTAATGTCTCTGCCCAAAAGATTTAGACGCAATTCGGCCTACCAATTTAGGTTGAAAACTCGATCCCCATATTTCTGGCCCCAAAAAGACAGATTATCTAGGGAATTTTGCAATGGTCTTTGCAGTATGAGTTCGCATCCAAATGATCTATCATTTTGAGAGAATTATCAAGTCCTGATTTGTAATCGATTGAGCTTGGTGGACCACCCTAGTTGATCTATTCTGGGAAACAAGAAAATTTAAAGGATTTCAACTCGTGAATGCCCACGTTTCCCAAATCACATCTTCAAGTGATTCCCCAGCATCAATAACAATATTTCACCTATGTTTTTCACTTCTTCCCAGCCAACATCAATTCAACTGAATTAGGTGTACGCGGTGGTATTGGTAGCAGCAGAACATTGCACGTACATATTTACTAGGTATCTATCCTAATCGTCCGTGTGTAATCAAAACAAAGAGCGAAACGTGTCGCGAGTTGTAATCTTCCACAACACGCTATCGCGTTTTTGTCGCCTTGTTCCTCTGCTACCACCTGACGCTGTTTAGATCAACGCGAGACGAGGCAAAATGGATGATGGAAATTAAAAAAAAAAAAACTGATATATTCTTTTCGCCTTTTGTTGTTTCCCAATTTTTATTAATAGATTTCGGTTAAATTGTAGAGTTAACCGCAATGACGGTGGTCTTGGTCGAGCGACCGGCGGTTGGTGGTTCCTGAGTGGGAGATTTGCGTTTGTGTATCATTTCCATATAATTTTTCTCCACCAATCTGTTTGCCTCAATTGTTTGCGGTAAGGTCTGTTAATGGCTATAGAGCTATTATAAAGCATAACAGACAAAGTCGCCATGTCGAGGGAGAGAGAGAGAGAGGGTGGTGGAGCAAAAGTTTAAATATATCAGATTGTATTTATTTCGGAGGAATGATGATCCCACGTAAATGTTTCCATCGTGTTCAACATTGATTTTGATGGTGGTATGGCAAAATGTATCTTCCAAGCGCGCACTGGTGGGCATTGGAAGTGTTAACGAAACTGTCGCATAACATACGCACCTTTCTGGCTTGAGGGCAATAACACAATCGACTTCTTTTTCTTTTAACTAATCCTAACTTTTCCGCTAAAACCTGTAGTGAGTGATGATAGCCGTATAAAGAGCTTTGTGGCCTCTAATTTTATCGCCCTTTATGGACATACTTTTTTTTCCCCTAATAGAAGATTTGCCCTAAAACCCCGAACCGCTCTTAGCACTCTTTCTTTTACGTTTTTTTCTCCTTTTGTTTCAAACAAAATTGATTCAAAAACACTCCGTTTTCCGATTTTATTTTTTATTCCATTCAAAATGTAGTAATTATGAAAACAATACTCTAAACGAAGAAGGAGAGTCATCGCATGCTACTATCACAATCGAGGTACACACAATTGCAAAATAACTAGATTGTATTAGTTAGCGAAAGAGAGAGAAGAAAACAAAGTACTATTGTACACCACATCCCTTCTTTTATTGTCTCACACTCATACTCATTGAGATCTGTCATGGTTGTGTTAGTAGAGAGCAGGGACATCTTTTTAACACATGCAAAACAGTTTAGGGACCAATAGAAGGATACCCGTAGTCGACAGTTGTAATACAGAGTTATCACACCCCACACCCACCATCCATCATCAAACTCCTTTTTTTTTAATTCAATTCTCTTCCATACTGGTTCATGTGTAGAAACGAGTTTAGAAAAAAGAAAACAGACTTTTTGGCGGGCATTTTCAATCCGGGTAAACTATAGAGCCTTTTCGTTCCAGGGACCTGATAACCAAGTGCTGGCCCGGTACCGGTGCAACTATGGCAGCTGCAACCGCAGCTACAGTACGGTTGGCAATCTGCGGACTCACATGAAAACCCATCGAGGTTAGTATCGTGCGTCCAGAATTTATGTTACCATTTGATTTATCTAAACATTGCAACTGAAATTTTGATTCCATGCCTGCGCTTTAACAACCTTGGATTAGGGTAAATTTTATAAAAGCAAAAACTGGTTGATTTCCATTGAGAGCATTTTTTTTTTTCGATTTTCAGGTGAATACAAATTCAAATGCACCGAAGATGGCTGTACCAAAGCGTTTCTTACCTCCTACAGTCAGAAGATTCACATCCGAGTACACACGAAAATCAAACCGTATGTCTGTGCGGAATCCAGCTGCAAGAAGGCATTCAACACGCGGTATCGGTTAAGGGCCCATGAGCGGTTGCACAATGGCAAGACGTTCAACTGTGGGGTAGGGACTCTATTTGCTCATACTTTCAACTAGGTACTATCCGTTTGTCAACAATTTTCTGTATCGCTTTCTTCCCGATAGGTCTGTGGCAAGTTCTTCACCACTCTAAGTGACCTCAAAAAACACTCACGGGTTCATACTCAGGAGAGGCCTTACAAGTAAGTACACGGGGAAAAATCCGTTCCGGAGTACATCCACCTCATGTTACGAATTTCGGAACAAGTCAATTTTTCGTTTACAAAAGTACATCATGAATAAAAAGCATGAAATCGTAAACATTGTTCCGCAAAATAAACGTAACGCCTGCGTTACGGTGCACCCGACACCAGCAAAGGCAACGAATGTCATAGAAACGTGAACTCTGTTCTGAAAATCATAATCTGGTTCTGGTTAACGTCATTGAAGTTCATGAGTTATGCTTGATATCGTGAACCTGTTCTCGAAAATGGACTGTTAAATGTCAACAAAAGTCAGCATGAAACTGAGAAGATTTACAAGAGATAACCGACAGCAGCAAAAGTGTAATTCGGAACAGACCACATTTCTAATGGAAACGCCCAGCTCAGCTCAGAAGACGAATTTGGCAAATCTTCCGCAGGCAAATCTTACTGCAGTTCTCAAACCATGGATCATACGAAGTAAAGCTAATTACGAAATTGACCACCAAATGCGCCGACCAGAAAGGCAAACCGGTGCAGTTCTTATGTGACGAATACGCACTCCCTTCTACCAACCGGTGGAAACTTACGATTTTTAATTAGCTCACTACTTGACAAGCCTATTGGTCCCAACCAAATCGGTTAACGTACCCAATTCTAGTTGAAATTCTAGTACTACATTATGTTTGTGTTGATTCGCTATGAAAGTTTGACAGATAAAATGAGGGGTTCGTGGATATTCCTATGTTTCGAGGGGTGTATCGATTAGCTTGGGACCGAAGAGAGTACCAGAGCTGAGCCAAAAAGTTGAGTACGTTTCTTCGGGACCTTCTAGTCTTAGAGTTACCTCTATGCTTCTACTGCCGCTGCAGTCGCTTTTTTGGCCGGAATTGCTCATATCTTCTGATATAAAGAACTCGCGCCTTGCCTACCAAACGATAAGGATAATGTGCCTGTATTGCTGGAAATAAACAATATGAAAAGGGCTGCTCGTGATCCAAGTTCATGGTTATAAGAACGAAATTACGATTATAGGTTCATAGTATCACGAAATCCTGATTTTATTTGGTGTTTTTTTTTCATAGCGCTATGAATTTCCTGGTCGAGCTAAACAGGTGAAAACTAAGTTCATTAATTTGGGATTAAGTTTTTGAAAATACGATCTACGTGATCACTTTTACGGGCACTAAGTCATGGATTCATATTAATTAAAAGTTCAGGTTATCATGATTTTTTGTTCACGAATATCGGATCGGTTTTTGGCGTGTAGAGGGCAAACTACACGCAAAAAAACCGTTTTGGTATTCATGAACAAAAAATCACGATAACCTGAACAGCTAGTTCAGTTTAATTCATGACTTAGTTCCCGTAAACGTGATCGAGTAAATCACATTCTCAAGAACTTAGTTCACGCCTGTTCAGCGCAACCAACGATTCCGTAACGCTACAGAAAACACAAAATAAAAAAAATCATGATTTCGTGATCCATGAACTCATAAGCGTGATTTTCATTCCTGAAATGCAAAGCTGCAGCTGTGATTTTCAGTTGTTGATGAATTTATCCTGAGCCGTATAATCAGAATTAGGTTTTGCACTGTCGGGGTTAACCTCAATCTGAGTTCAGTGGTACTGTTTACGTGGACAGAGTCGATTTTTTGCTTTGGTAGATTTTCTCGATAATTTTTCAGCACTTCTGCATTGTCCATGAGCAACATCCTTTCACCGCGCTGTTCCTCGAAAATTTCCAGGTTAAAATTCGGAAATTTTAGAATATTTTTTTCTCTCGAAAAAAAGATTAAGTGCTTGTAAACAGTACCACTGAAATATCAAAAAGGTTCAGCCAATTACCACTGAGTTCATTCGTGACGTCACGCTGCAAAACCTACACGGAGAAAAAATAATACCCAAAATTTGAGTTCTTTTTACTTAATATTGACTTCAGCCTCTCACTTGCACTCGTTATTGTTGTCAAAAAAGGAACGAGAGATTCGACCCAACGATATAGTTCAGCCCAATAAGTTACTTTTGAGTAAATTGCATATTCTCAAATTAACGTGAATTAAACTTAACTTTGGGTAGAATATACTTAAGAGTAGGTAATTTTTTTGCTGGTGTTAAATGGAAACTACTATATGCAATTTACTCAAATTTGGGTTATTGGGCTGAACCCCAGAATTGAGGGAAAAGTACTTAATTTTGGGTAGTTTTTCATCTCCGTGTAATAGGCTTCTCTGACGTTTGTGAATTGCACAAGTATTAGTGCAGAACTTTGGGTAAATTCAAAGGTTTTCTTGCACTAATACTTATAATTTACCCAAAGTTCTGCACTAATACTTGTCCATTTCTCAAACGTCAGAGAAGTCGAGTGGTGAACCTAGGGGTGAAGTTTTGTTCATCTACTGAAATAAAATTGACACAACAGCGGGGCCCTGTTTACTAAAAATGAACACATGAATAATACTCACGTAACATTTGAAACGGGTCTATCAACTTATGTACACAAAACTTGTTAAGCCTTTTTCGCGCGAACCGAATACGCTCACGTAAACTACCAACACCATCGGGCAAAGGAAATTCTCGCCGTCCCCATAGTGCTCTTGGTTTGCGTGGGCGTACTTCGGTTCTCGTGAAAAGGACCTAGCAAATTATTTACCAAAGTTGATAGGCCCTTTTCAAATGTTACGCGAGTATTATTCATGTGTTCATTTTTAGTAAACAGGGCCCCGCTGTTGTGTCACTTTTTGTCGAGTGAGTGAACTCAAATCCATCCGTGCACTCGTCAATTCGTCCATAGACGACTGCAACGATGAATTTGAGTTCACTCACTCGAGAAAAAGTGACACAAGCTGCGGGCAATGTTTACTAACCATGAACACTAAATGTTCATGAATAATGAATAATGAACATTTAGTGTTCATGATTAGTAAACATTGCCCGCAGCTTGTATCACTTTTTCTCGAGTGAGTGAACTGAAATCCATCGGTGCACTCGCCCATTAGGTTCTGCAGCGTGACGTCAAGAATGAACTCACTGTTAATCGGCTGACCCTTTTTGGCAGTTCAGTGGTACTGCTTACAAGCACTTAGTCGTTTTTTTTTTCAAAAAAAAATATTTTAAAATTTCTGAATTTCAACTTGAAAATTGTCGAGGAAATGCGCGGTGACTTGCCCCCCTCTATGGTAGAAGGATGTTGCTCGTGGACATTGCAGAAGTGTGGTTTACATTAAAGAGCCTGAATTTATAAAGAGACGACATCTTATCCATTTGACAGGTCTTCTGCTCGATTGGAATGACTTTTCCTATGACTTTGACAGACAATCGATTGTTCCAATTTTGACATGTCGCCTCTTTATAAATTTAGGCTCTTTAGTTTACATCTCACTGCAGTCTGAAAAATTATCGAGAAAATCTACCCAAGAAAAAATCGACTAAGTCCACGTAAACAGTACCACATTAAAACTCTTCACAATTCTTTTGTAGCTGTGCTCTCAAAAGTTGATTCCCTTGGTATTTTTCACGGATCTGGGAATCCTCTTCACAATCGCCATGCATTTTCCACAGAGCTACTCAAACAAATTAGAATTCTAAAATTCATTCTATAATCTGCTCAAAGTTGCTTTGGAATTGTTTTTTCTAAAATTCTTGTAATAGTCCTTCAGTGACTGCATTCCAGAAAACTAGTCCAATCTAAAGGTCTTGACATTTTGTCCAGGACCAAAGTCTTATTTTTCTTGAGAAAAGGACATTTTTCCCGATTTATCATCAAAATTCATGGGTTTTTTTTCCGGTGACTTTGAATTCCCGGCTTTTTCCCGATTCACTGGTCACTCTGAGTGATGCCTCATAGCTTCGACCAACTGGACTGTCTGGCTGGACAAGTGGAACCGATTTGACAGACGTGGTGTATGGATGAAGATTTCCGTTACTCTTCCTCTGTTAAGTGTTATCACTGAGCTCCGATTTGCTCCACTGTCGGGCGGGAACTGATCATAGGCGTAGCCAGAGGGGGCAGGGGCAACTGGCCCCCTAAAATCAGCAACACAAAGGATTTCGGCAAAGGAATTCGGCCAAATTTTCCATAGTAATTTTTTTGCGCCCCTCCCTAGCTCGAAACCTGGCTACGCCCTTGGGACTGATAGTGGATGCGATTTGGCAGAAGCATTTTGGAACCGCGAAAACCTCTTCAAACTACACCGTGCCTTGTCCGGGCCGGACGGTATTTGCGGTGGTATGAGCACGTTCAGTTGTTTTCTGATCAGGTGTTGTGTTTGGTTGCAAATATAGCTTCAAGTGCTGACCATAATAATATAAAATATTGATATTATTATCTCCTTTGCCGTTGACTTCTCGCGGATGATTTCCAAACAATCGTTGGCAAGGAAAGTTACGATCAACGATTTCGCCTTCCTAGGTTAAACGCACATATAGTGGAGGTACGGTGCAATGTGTTCCTATAGTGGCTTATGGAGACTCCATAAGCCACTATAGGTACGTTTACCCTATCCGACTCTTCAAAGTTGACCTTCTCCGCCGCCACTTCAGTAAATTTCTTAAGTCTACTAAGAAGCTCCAATGCTGGAAATCCGGACCGCCGTCGACTTGCGGAATTCCGCTTTTACAGTGTTCACCGGGAAACTTTTTATTGGAAGTTGAGGTTCAATTATTTAAGAAAACACGTCTTTATTAAATGAGTACATAGTAGTAAAATAATGTTTATTCCTGTTGATTATGATAGTACATTGATTTAACATTTTAATTGATTAGCCTACCTGGCTCTTCATCTTAGTTTAATTTGATATTCTAGTTTAATATTTGCGTTTTTCAACTAGTTTACAGAATAACGCTATTGGGGGTGTGTTTTGATTTATTATTAAATGAAGTTTGAGGTTGGAATGAATCAAGAAATAATAGCAGCACGAAAGTAACATCTTGGTGCGACTGAAAACGGATGAACTAGGCTGCTTCGTCTTCAAATTCAGTCTCTTTAAGTTTTACCATCTAAACATGAGCTCACATGAGCTGAGTACAACTTCTATCGTGATGGGCAAGATGCAAAAGCGCGTGATTGGGTGGTGATACCAGATTATTGGAAAGTTCCACGTGCACCAGCTCAAGCGCATCGATCAACTCCATAACATTTCTCACATTCATTTTCCTCGTTCCAGGTGCAAGGAGGACAAATGTGGCAAGGCGTTTACCGCTTCGCACCATCTGAAAACTCACACCCGTACTCACTCGGGGGAGCGTCCGTTCTCCTGTTCGGTGTCCGATTGCCACAAGGCATTCAGTACCCCGCATAGTCTTAAGTCACATACCAAAACTCATGAGAAACCTGTAAGTTGGACCACCGCACAATTTCAAACTCCCCTCCTCTTTGTAACGGTTAACACCCCCTCTCCCCCTTTCAGAAGAAGAAATTATCCAAATCAGCCAAGAAGCTGAAAAAATTGGCTCAAACAAGCACCAAAGAAAATCAAACCGTAGTTAAGGAAGAGACGGCGCCTCCGTTGGAGCATGACGATCCACTCCCGCTGCACGAATCACCACCGGAGCAAGAAAGTGAACCCCACATCCCGGAGGAAACTGCCTTCAGTTTGATAGATTTTCACGAATCCAAAGCCCTGGAGATGGCCCTCGCATCGGAAGAGGAATTCAACGCTCCTTGGGTGGACATTTCCGTGTTGGGAACGAAACCGTTGGCCCTGGATCCGGTTACTTCGTCGTGCGTGGCTCTTCCTACCAGCGTTCCTTCGTACGTGGATCTTCCGTTCAATGTCAATGTGGCTGATTTTGCCGCCGATCCGGAGCCTAGCACCAGTTCCGCCGCCGATATGTTTATGGGTACCTATTACGATCCTAATTTGATTGAGGAAAACGCGCGGAAGGAAATCGACGAGGCAATTCAGATCAGTGAGCTGAACGTGGCCAAACAAGAGCAGCTAGGCGGTGTTCAGGATACGACGGACACGATACTGAACGAACTATTCATGGAAGACTTTCTGCCATCGGGTTCCGACCAGCAACAGGATAGCAACAACAACGTCTGTGCGGACCCGGTGAAGACCTTGAAAGATATTACGGCGGATGCGGATATTTGCCGTTGTGTCAATTGCCAGTGTGATCCCATGCAAGGCTGTCTCGGGGGTTGCGGACCAGAACGTCCCTGTAGACCTCACTCCAATACAGACCAGCAACAGCATTTAGTCTCTCTTCCTCAAACGATTCAAAACTTCAATCTCTATCAGAGTCAGCCCCAGCAACTGCAAACGATTGCACCGACGATGTTGAGTTCCACCAATGGCGGCGGCGGCGGCTGTTGTGGTCCTAAGAAACAACCCTCTATGCTAAGGGCTTCGTGTTGCTCGGGTAAAACCAACGAACCATTAAATCCGGAACCGATTGGGGATCTTTTGACCAATTTGCTCGGCCAGCAGGGTTGCAGCTGTAGCGGCATGTCAGAAGGAGTCTCCAAGGGCTGCTGCGTGGTCATTTGTCTGAAAACACTGGAAACGCTCAAAAATGTTCTCACGTCGCAGTCCAATCTGATTCGGTGCCATAGCGGAAGCGCCAGTGCCATTGCTAATTGAGAAAGGTGAGGAATTTTTCTAAGAGAGTGCCAAATTTGCCATTACGTCAAAAATCATATCCGATCGAGATTGAGTCAACAGTGGGGTTATTCGCCAGATAGTGTATGATTAGTCGTTTAAAAGTGCCTACAGTTTTCTCTTTTACTAGCTTCCTTTTGTTTCTAGAGTTAAGGGGTTGCAAAGTGCCCCAGGTTGGCCAAGCCAAGTTCAAAGTTTCTATTCAGAAAGAATTTTATGTTACCTTTTTTTTATGATATTTATTCGAGTAAAAACATTGTTGCGTGATAAATAAGAGCTTGTGTTTCTTCGCTGCTTCGCATTTATTATAGGCCCCACTACTTTTGTGTAGGCTCTGAGCTGTTTGATTTTATTTTAAAAACACAGGAAGAAAAATTAATGATCTATCAAAAAAGCAATCTTTCGGTTCTCTCGGAATTAACCGATGTTTTTTCCGCTCCAGATGATGTGTGATGCTTTTTTTTATTAGCAACCAGTATGCCATGCGGGCGGATAACATCGCGTCTACTTTCTTTTAATAGTGGAAAGATGTCAGGGGAAGTAAACTGTTTGTGTATTGTTATAAAATAATATCCGTTTATTACTGTCTTCGAAATTACCCTGGCATATCTCTTGGGAATAAGACTACAAAAACAAAGTATTAACGTATTTGGTGGCATCAAAGGCAATGTTCGTTGAATAATGGACACTAGATGAATAACGCCTTGCACCAGAATTACACAACGCAGTGCATACTGTGAAGCTTTGCGAAATGTTTGAAAAATGAAGGCTATCATATATAGGTTGGTCAGTTGAAAGATAAGCGAAAAATTCACGCCCTTAGTGCTACAACTATGCTACAGGTATCTTCTGGGCTAGTAGCGATAAATGCTGTCAAAAATAGTGATTCTAGTGACCATTTTCGTGAATCGATGGATCACAGCACGCCAGCCGAACCAATCACACACTTGCACACTACAACCATTCGCTCTAATATCCATCATTCAAAAAAAAATTTATCACATATCTAAAGGATGAAAACCATGTGAATTTCACATAGGTACCATATGATCACCTAGCTAAAAATCCCACCACCAGTGCTGAGATTTGTCATTGTCACTGACAGACTTTCGCGCGATATTGACTAAATTGTTCGTCACATGGTCACTGACAGACTTGATCCTCAAAAACCTTCGTCAAAATCTCATTCATTTTTTCGTCAATGACAAAGATTCACCTGGTAACAAAAAGTGTAATTTAGTACATTCTGTGTCACATTATTGTTATCTAAGTAGCTCAGGACGTAGATACTTGTTCACTAAAATGGATCCATGTAATTGTTTTCCTCAAGTCATTTAATTTCGTTACAAATTTGGCTAATAAATAAATCTGCACATGCTCGTCACTGACAGCATTATCATTGACAATTGACATGGTTTGCCTTGACTATGACTGTTAGCTCCAATGAGTGACCAAAGCAGAATTGTCAATATCACCGTGTACTGTCGAGATTTTGCAGCACTGCCCACCACAAAATCACATGAATATTATGAGGTCGATGAAATTCAACGTGATCGCATAAATGTTATGTGAAATTCAGATGAATTCCATTAATTTTGTTTATGGATGAAAATCATTTGCGTTTCCAATGGAAGCTACATGAAAACTATTTTCGGTGATACAGTCATAAAATAAATCACATAACCAGTGGAAAATATCCATGTGAATTTCACATAACTTTCATGTGATCCCATAATTGGAACATCACATGAACGTTATGTGTCCAATGAAATCTATATGATTTCTCATATAGAATTTCTAATGCTATGTGATATTCAGGTAAAAATCATTGTTTTTGTTTTTGGAAAAATACTATGTGCGTTCCTAATAGAAACTAAGTGAAAACTTTTTTCAGTGTATCCATTACAAGACTGCCTCATTCATGCACTGAGGCAAATAGACCTAAGAATTTCATAAGGCTTGACTTATGAACAACATATATGAATTTCATAAGCGTGACTTATGAATGATTTTCGGGTAACATGAGGTGGCTCTTATACGCCTTTAACCATTTCATTTTCCCAAGCGTTGAAAAACGAGTGGTCAACACACGCCCCCCCCCCCTCCCCCCTAACCTCAAGCTCCATTTTCCGGTTCCAGTCTGCTCCGATTTATTATTTTTTGTCAATATTATTTTTCATAAGGCAAATCAATGAAATTCACATTGATTTCTTATGGCTAAAATTCATAAGAGTTTCTGATGGAATTCTTACGTTCTTTTGCCTGCATGTACCCAAGGCTAAACACTCAGCCCATGCTACACTCAAAAAATGTATCACATATCTAATGGATGAAATCTATGTTAATTTCACATAGCTGCTTTCCTGTGATCACATAGCAGCAAAATCACATGAACATTATAAGGTCGATGCAAAACATATGAAAAATCATATAAAATTAATGTGATTGCATAAATGTTATGTGAAATTCAGATGAATTCTCGATGAACATTTCAAATGGTCCTATCTGCTTTGATCGATTCTCTTCATCGACTTTCTCTTTCGTTAATAACTAAGCTGTAAAACCTTTCCCTGTTGTATTTGACGTTTTGTACGCTAGATAAGAACCTCCTTTATCAAACTATGTGGTAGAATTAGCGCGAAATCTGTTTGCATAGCAGTGGTTATGAAAAGAGAAAGTCGATGAAGAGAATCGATCAAAGCAGATAGGACTATTTGAAATGTTCATCGAGAATTCCATTAATTTTGATTATGGATGAAAATCATGTGCGTTTTCAATGGAAGTTACATGAAAATTATGTTCGGTGTACGGTTCGTTCACACATGCAGCTGTACACGGCGAATGAGAACGACTCAAATTTGAGTTTAGTTCACTCATAATCGCCAAAAGTGCAGGAACTCAGCGATGAGTTAATTTGTCTCATGTTTTCCCTGGCTTTTCCAGGATTTTTCAGGGAAAAATTCCTGAATTTGAGAAAAGTAAAGATTGGATTCACTCAGTCTATTGGTACTACTCCGAGACTGAATAAAATTTACGTCAATTTCCTCATTTTCCGGCAGATTTTTTAGGTTTTCCACAGGAAACCATGAGACAAATTTTACTCATCGCTTTTTTTTTTTTTTAAATCTTTATTTTAGAGATTTTTAGCCTGAGGCTAGTTCATCTCTTATTACTCATCGCTGAGTTCCTGCACTTTTGGGGATTATGAGTGAACTAAACTCAAATTTGAGTCGTTCTCATTCGCCGTGTATATGTTTCAGAGTGCATGTGTTTATTTAAATCATACTGCACACTGACTAGATTTCACTCAAGTTCAGTGTTAGACGACTTAAGATTTCAATTTATTTAATGCACTGAAACATTATTATCATTATCATTATTACATACCAACCATATCTACCACAACCATGTTGAAGAAATAAGTGACTAAATAGTGACTTATCGTTGTAAAAAAGTGACCTATGAGAAGAAAAGTAGTCGTTTGGATGGCGCAATGTTTGATGTTTTAGACTATACTACACGCAGAAAAAAAATATTCTCGAAATAAAAATATTTGAGGTAAATCAAACATAAACTCAGTTTGTTCTGGCCACAAAAATAAAATAGATTGATTTCAAACGTATTTTATGTTTAAAGTCATGTGACATCAATGTTTAAAATAAAAGTCATGCTACGTTTATTTTAAAAATATTCGAGTTGAAAATAAACGTGAAAGCTTTATAATCAAAAATAAATATTTTTATTTTAAACATGATTTTGATGTTTATATTAAACGTACTTAATGTTTAGCGTGATTTTCTATTTATTATTAAAAATTATTTTCGGATGAAACAAATAAAAGTGCTCGATTAGGTTAAATCACCAATCGTGCGCTTATATTTGCATTATCGTCGTCTTATGATCCGGATGCAATCACATCAGTCCTTCATCCAGAGACCAGTCCTTCACCACGAATGATGGGTGATCTTCCGGAAAACCCCTGTTCTGTGAAGATTCACCAGCTCCAGTGTCGCTCCGTCCAGCTCTTGATCTCGTTTTCTGCTTGGTCTTCTGTGCCTTTATCACCACCAAACATTCCCGCTTGGCCAGGCCCCATCGGACAATGATTCCATTCTTGTTCGCCACGTACAGAAACCGATCATTGTCAGTCAAACACAAACACGTCAGTGACAGATGCTGTCAAATACAATTTATATTTCGATATTGTTGAAATAAACATGCTTTTGAATTTAATTTGAACATGTATAAATATTTTAGTTTCAAACATCTTTTCAATTTACTTGGAATAATTCATATGTTTAGAGTATAAACATGTATATTTTTAATTTAAATGAACAAAATTCGTATTCGTGTAATTGAATGTATCACCGGCAAACCGACATGAAACTTAAACTTAACTCTTGGTCGAGAATCCATCTGTCAAAACTATAGAAATGTTTTATCTAGATAAAAATGAACCAGCATGCAAAAGTTATGAATTGGTTCGTGTCTGATCTATTCTAGACAAATTATTTTCACCTAGATCAAAAAATCCTATTGTTTTGACAGTTCGGATCACTGCACTTTTAAATCGGCTGTTTAAGATTTTCGGACATAAGTCAGATTTAAAGGCCCAAACGCAATGTGGGCGGAAGCGGAACGGAAACGGAAAGTTTGACAGTTGTCACAAATGCCATCAAGATGCCTAACCGAAGTCGATTTGATTCTAACTAGTTTTCAATCCGACAAGTAGGCTTACTCAGATCGGGCTTTTCCGCTGTCGCTGCCGTTCCGCTTCCGCTGTCATTGCGCTTGGGCCTTAAGTGTCATCCCGCATAAACAATAACCATAAGAAGCGCCTAACCACCAATTCGGGATATCATCTCAACTTTATGTGGTATGGTCGAATCATCTATGATATCGTTAGTGTATGGTACCAGTTTATTAGGGATGCTGGTTTGTCGATGATAATACCATAGAGGTAACTCTACGACTAGAAGGTCCCGAAGAAACGTGCTCAACTTTTTGGCTCAGCTCTGGTACTATCATCGGTCCCAAGCTAATCGATTCACCCCTCAAAACATAGGAAAATCCACTAACCCCTCATTTTATCTGTCAATGTTTCATAGCGAATCAAAACAAACATTGCGTAGTACTAGAATTTCGACTAGAATGGGATACGTTAATCGTTTGCTTGGGACCAATAGGCTAGTCAAGTAGTGAGCCAATTTAAAATCGTTAGTTTCGTATTGATTGTTGATAATACTTCAAGAAATTTTCAAGAATCTGACGTCAAATTCCTTGCACAGTTTTAAAGGCTCATGGAATTTTATTATAATTTCTAAAAATCTCATTCCAAGGAAGTTTTGAGAAAACTACAAGGGACAACCCAATGGGGTTGTACCAACAATCAATACGAAACTAACGATTTTAAAATGGCTCACTACTTGACTAGCCTATTGGTCCCAAGCAAACGATTAACGTACCCCATTCTAGTCGAAAGTCTAGTACTACACAATGTATGTTTTGATTCGCTATGAAAGTTTGACAGATAAAATGAGGGGTTATTGGATTTTCCTATGTTTCGAGGG